AAATACTCTGAAAGTTCAAAAGAAAGGAAGTTCCAAATTCCATTCCCCTGTTTGAGGTACTTTATGTCTGTGGGTCATTTGCCTATCTGTAACACACATTTACTAGTGTCTGGATAAGACCAGAATTTGTCCCATTGTTTTCTTTTAATAGAAGGTGAAGAGAGGAAGAAAGAAATAAAGAAAAAATCAGCCCAATGATGGTTTAGACATGGATCTAGACAAAGTATTTTTGTCTGGGAAAGTCTATGATTGGAGTCTTTCAGATTCATATTAGTGTCAGTGTGTCTATATGCCTGCAACTTGTTTGCTATCAATGCAGACAGATAAAAGGGAAGTTTTTGTACTGCCTAGACAATAAAAAGGAGGACACTTTTTTGAGGAAAGGTCTTGGATTCAAATTTCATGTCAGACTCTGGTGATCATATCAAGAACAAAGACAAACAGCATCACAGTCCAGAAGGAAACAGAACATAAGCAGAACGCAGTTCATCCATCTGACAGCCATGGACATCATCTCTTAGCAGAGAAAGGATGAAAACTATGCTGAGGAAATAGACTGGAATTCAGCTCATAATTCTTAGCTGGAATTCAGTGATGGGAAATCAAACCTCACATCTTTGATATAATCATTCAGTTTTTATTGGAAGTTATTTGAGCTTTAATAAACACCTTCCGTAAAAACAAAGAACATAGCAAATACAAATGAATAAAATCTATGTAAAAGATTGCAGAAAGTCAGTAGTACCCCTGAAAAATTCCTGATAACACACTTACTCGATATCCATCTGTATGAATATAAATAACTGAATTTGATTTACATGTGTCTGTTTATGAAATAAGCAGAGGCTCACAATTTGGAGGAAATACAGAAACGTCATTTTTGTGACATTTTCAGTGGCAAGATTTAAGAGAATGAGTCTATATAATGGAAACAAATAGTATTTTGGAATAGTGAGAGACAGTATTGGAATGAGTAAAAGTGAAATAGTGAAAGAAAAAGAACTGAAATTCAAAACTGTACTTATCATACTGTATCCTAACCGAGAGTTATCAAGAGTCACTTTCTAATACAGTGAGAACCCAGTACACTCTCAGAAGGAAAGACTGACCTTTCCAGATCTCAAAATAATGTGGTAAAGTGAAAATCTTAGTGCTTGGCTATCTTTCAGGGACATGGTTTAGTGGTAGACTTGGCAGTGCTAGGTTAATGGTTAAACTCTATGATCTTGAAGATCTTTTCTAACCTAAATGATTCTATGATTCACAGCAAGATATATTGGGTACCACTATAGGCACATATCTACAGTTATATTCTATGTAATATATACTGCCTATAAACTTCGGTAATTGAATATGTGATAAATGCATATATACACCCTCATGCTCTTTCTTTATATACACATGCACACAAAATACATACACACACAGATATATATATATATCAGCACTATATATATCTTTCTCTCTAGCTCTAAACACTGTATAAACACTCACACATACATGTAAACATTCTTAAAAGATGTACAGCTCTTGGAATTCCTGCTTAGACCAGATTTCTTTGAAGAAAACGTAGACAAAAGAAACGTACTGCTAAGGAGCATGAGGTTTTGAAAGAGTATTTCTTCAGAGAGATTACTACTAAGCTTTATGTACTTTATGTATGGTAAAGTTATTTGAATAATTACAGCTCAATCACTGTAAAAAATATCAGTGTATATATATATTTGATGGAGTACGTGCACTAAGCAAACAGATCAGAGGTGCATTTAAAAACAGTGCTTCTCCAGAAGGTATACAAATATAAGCTTCAAACAAAATTTATTTTAGAAATAGATAAATAAGACATAAAAAGGAACAGTGCTCAGTAATTCAATATGAAAGCAAAAATATATAGTAAAAATATTTGTTAAAAAGATTTTACAAATAATACTTAAGACGGGGAGATACCATAAATATATGTTTTATGATAAAATGGGAAATCACTGAAAATGTGTAACAAAAAACCCCCACAGTATTACAGGTTATGTTAAAAAAATAATTCTATTTACATCACAAACCAGCTTTGCTCCTGACAGCACCCTACTGCCCTTCAGCAGTCCTCTACTCAATTAAATTCCAAAGGATTTAAAGATCTCCTCCAAAGTCCAATATATTTTCTGATACAACAGGCAGCTGTCATATAAACTGCAGATTGTGTGCCATAGCTTTTCCTTGGAGTGACTCGTTTGATATCAGGGCATGTTTGAGATCAAGTGGCATTGAGCTTTGGCAGACACACATTCATATGAAATCCGGGCATTGACAATATGACACAGGATGCAGAAGAGCAAATCTGAGCACCATCTTTGGCTGCTGGCATTGCAGGGCTAAAAGCAGCGATGCGATTAATTTCCTGTGTAAAACTGGCAACAAATAAAGAACTAGTCTTTTTGCTGAGCCACACTGTAACTAACCAAAACCAAACTCTAGGACTTTATCTACAGACACAGACCCACCTGCACTGGTGGCAGGGGTGGCAATGTGCACCAGATAAAAGGATGAATCTCTTGAGAAGTTTACTGAGATGATGGTAACAATAAATGTAGTTTAAAGTACAATAAAATAACTTAGAAAGTATGATTGATATTCCAAAGAAAATATAATGAGTTTTTAATTTCAACAGCAACATTTGGTCAACTGAGTGATTTTTAATCTTAATTGACTCTAACTTCCATGCAGTCAGAAAATAGAATTTCTGTAGGTGAAAACATTTGAGAACACAAGCTGTTTTCGACACAGATACACCTAGCTTTGACTCAGGATGCTACTACTCATTTAAAAAAAAACAAAACCAAAACTAACTATAGATTGTTTTTAACTGGCCTCCATTTAGCCTTCACACCACTGAAACGCATATAAAGTGCTATTTGGCACACATACATATTTGGTCAGTACACATATAGGCTTTCACGAGACTTTCAAGAACCCATAAAACCATCAGAAGGAAATGAGCTCTGTGGCCAAGTCTTCGCCAGTCTATGAAATAATTACTTTTTTAAAAGTGATACTTAGATATAAGAAAACAAAAACTGAAACAGAGGAAACACAGAACTGAACCACTGAAGAGGTTGCTGGCTTTTCCCTTAGTGCATTGGGAGGGTTATTATATTTGGCTGTGCTGACTCATGAGATAACTAGGAGAGAGAGATTACTGATTTGGACCAATAATCCAACCATATGATGTACCTTTTATAAAGTTTTAAATTACTTTTTAAAGTTTAAAATCATCCTAGATTCTTTTAGAATTATTTATTGATATGCTAGAATGCGAGCAGTGAAATACTAGGAAAAAGGTAGACCTTCAGCTAGGTTGAAAGCAAAGAACTAGGAATGTAATGAAAAATATTTTTGTCTGCAAGCACCTAATTGGCATGTTTAAATTAGAGAGGTACTTATCAAAGGTTTTCTTCATACTCAGTGTAAGAAAGTAGGCACTTCTAGAGGGCACGCAGTCCTAAAATCAAAACAACCTGCTATAGCATATCTATGCCTCTTCACTACCAGAGAAAAACCCGAGGGCAACTGTATGTCCACTTGAGATGATTAAGTCACATGCTTGAAGTTAGATTAGACTAACCTAGTCCAGTATCTCATCTCACTATCCCTCAACTAATGCATACATAAATTCCACGTAAGCGTTCCAATTATTGTGTGCTTTTCTTAATCAAACATTAGTTTTCTGTATATGAGTTCTCATGAAGGAAATCCAACCTAATTATCGTTAAGAACAGAAATCCAGATTCAAAAAAACAAAGAAGAAACTGAAAGTCTGTGAAATCCTACTATCTTCCTGACAAACAAAGGGCCCTACTGGGCCAAAGGGTTATTACTCTAAACAAATACATCTGAATGTTTCCCATCACCCACATCTAAGTCAACACTTGGAATAGCAACAGTCAGGACCACTCTTTGTTACACTAAACAATACTTCTTGAATAAATTCCTTACTATGTTAGGAATGAAACTTTCAATGCAAAGCAACTGGCTGAATTGTGGCATTGAGTCAATAAATATCACTACTGTATGTCTAACCACTAAACATGTTGGTTTTTTAGTTTAAAGCATAAATGCTGCAAGGGTATGATAAATAGGAATAGCAAAACTGTCTTACAGATACATAAACTTCTTTCCAAGAAAATGATTTCATTATCAGAAATGAAAATTTTTCTGTAACAGTCATAGTTATAATTATGCAATACAATATGCTAAATTACAATACGTACTTCATTATTAATAGAATTTATTTTACAGATCAAATAGCCAAATACACATTTTTAAAAGAGCCAGATAGCAAATGTGCAGGAAACTATAGGCAACAGTCATGGTAGACATTCTGCAGTCCAAGAACTGAGGCAACGTGATTATTAAGTACAAGCCTATAAATATCTTTACATCAAACATACAGTAATGTGTAAGAATTCCATGTTGTAGTCTAATTCATGAATCATTAATAACTTTTTCTTTAAAAGAAAGATATATATACTGTATACATCCCAGTTAAAAGCAGTGTCTGTATTTCATTTTATTCTAGCAAACTAATATTACATGTCTTTATATAAGTGCAGAAAACAGGGTTCTTTATACTCCTTTGCTTCCTAAGAGATTTTTGCATTGCATATGAAATTCTAATATTATAGATGATACATATTAAGCGTTACTCCCTAAAATGTGAGGCAATATACAAGAACTTGCAAACAACCTGCAAACGAAGCTATGATATTCGAATTTTATGTTTTAAATGACCTGTGCTAAATAACCAATTATAATGTAAAAAATTTAAATTAAAAAAAGTTAACTATACAGAGAAATAATTTGGGAAAAAAGCCAACAGTAGGCCATTTTTTTCCCCATGTGCTGGCTAAGAGTGAAAAAAGTATGTATGCTATTTTCTCTTTTATCACACTGAAAAGCAAGCCACTGGATTTATGACATTTTTTCTTTTTAAATAAAAGTACTTCAAAAGGTTAAATGTATGGCACCTGTTACACAGACATTATCTAGATTTCAGCAAGCAAAATGCAAATTAAATTTTACTTTTCAAAATTAAGTGAATACTTTCAGTTATTTAAAAGGTGATCGTTTATTACAAAATGTGGATAAGAAAGCAGAAAGTACTCATTTTTTCACTACTACTATTGTGCCTATAAAATCAGAAAGCAGTGATTTGGTCAATTCTATTTATGATCCATAGCAGCAATATCATCATTAAAATTATTATGGAATATATATAAATAACACTTAATTCTTAACATGTATAATGGTGCTGTGACAACAATTCATTTGTTTTTCTTTTAAAATGCAGGGAGTATAAAGAACTTTACATTCTCTTTTTAATGTATGAATAAAATTTATTGCTCCCTTTTAATATATTTATAGAAACAAAATTTCTAATTGTTTCAACTAAAATAAATAAGGAAAAAATCTGGGACAAAATGATGATTACAAGCAAAATAGATTTACCATAATTGCCAACTGTGAAGAAGGATGGGTCACATTACTTTTTTCTTAGCAAAACTACGTTATAGAACACTATAGCACAATGTACTAAAATTTTTTTGTCTTTTCTTTTTAAAAAATTCTTGCCCTTGATACCTTTCAGTAGGGCAGCTTGAACAGTTCATCGTCACTTCCAAACCCCTCTGGAGATCAGACGATAAATTTCTTCGGCAATCAGAGACAGGACAAAGGGCTTTCTCGTGCTATTTCCTTGTTTTCATGTTTGCTGGCTTAACATCATTGTGTACACGTACGACTTCAGTATATAACATCAGATGCGATGACGTTCAGAGCTGGCAAACAGAGAAACAGCATGAGAAAAGCCCTTTCCTGCATAATTTTCCCCATATACTGTAAAGTTTGTTTCCAAATTTCTACCATGTCAATCACTGTATGATTTGAGAAGTACTGAACTACTGTGGTTCTAAGTAACCAACCATTTTTGATGGATGTGTGTTTTCAGGTTCCTATACACAAGCAAAAGTCTGCACATGTCTACATACACATAGCAAAAACGGTGAAACAGAAGTAGCCACAGAAATGGCTTCCATGTATGTTATTCTAGGTCTCTTACTATTTTTTGTTCTTTATCAGCTGAAAACCCCCAAGTGCTGTTGCTTAACTACAGCTATCAGAAGACTACCATACAATCTAGAACATGTTCTATACAGTTTTAGCAGACTTCATTCAAAAGCATCGTTCCCAAGAGGATAAAATATTTTGAAGAGTTCTTCTGCATCTTTAATCTATATTTATCATCAATAGATTTAGAGTTCTAAAAATTCACAGAAATTAAGCCATTCAGATCAATTATTTCACAGGGAAGAAAGCACTATTGATACCGCAGTCACCAAGACACTAGCCACTCACTGGTCAGGAAATTGCTATCAACTGCAGATTATTGAGTGCAATACCTTCTGGGAGAAAATAGGAAAAGAAACAGGTGTGAAAATTAAACTGCAGTTAAATCAGACTTCATTGTTGACAACAGTTTATAGCTATAAGTAATTTAAAAAAAAAAACAAAGTTGGGTCATGAGGAGAAAAGAGTAAACTTTTCAGTTATCCCACTGAAAAATGAAGGTGAAATGAACTTAATATTTAGGAAAATTTTTGCTGCTACTACCCAAAGGCAAGCTCCTATTGGAGACAAAGTTGCATATTGTTCTAGCTTGCATAAAACCCACACAATTATTAATGCTGGAACTTCATCTACCAACTTCAATATAAATTCAGTCAATGAGTTCTTACTAGGAAAAATAAGAAAGTCTTTGTTTTTTCTGAATTAGTTTTTACTTAAGTGTCATATTAAAAATCTTTCAGTTTTTCCTCACATAAACCTTTTTTTTTTTTCTTTTCATCCTATTTGTGCTCTGTTTTTGTCTTCTACTATGAGGCAGGCAGGTACTTTCCAGATTCTTCCCCCATGCTTTTCCCGTGAAAAAATATATATTAAAAGAACAATTCTGAAGAAGTTTGTCTTCAAAGTGTTCCACAGAGGAAAAGCATTTTATTGACCAGCTTTACTTCAGTAGTACTGCACGTTTAAGTAACTGCTCACTAACTTCCGAGTTGCAGACTTTCACTTATCCTTCTATTAGAAATCTTTTCGCCAGATATGAATTTCAGGTTTTTTTCTGGAATGTGTATACATGGCAGTATATCAGAACTACCAGCAAAATCACCAGCCAGAAAATTAAGAGAAAATAACAAAAGTATTTAGAATCATAGTAATGAATTTTTAAATGGCTTTTAGGAAGGGCTTAAACCAACTGCTATTTAGCTGATATTTAGGAGAAAATGTTCTTTGAGTGTAATTTACTCTGTATCTGTCAATGCAAAGTACCAGTGTTATCTTTATACCCTTTTACGTACAAGAAGCATCAGCACTGCCTACTGATTATTACAAAATACTAGATTAAACTGACTAGTCTCACTGTTATTAAACAAAACAATAAATCCTGCAGCTAAAGATTTACACAACTGGTGAGTTTTCAAAGCTATTAGTTTCAGGAGCAGTGCAACATTCTTTCAATTCACATCCTAAGCACACTGTTCTTATAGTGGTGGGAAGCTATAACGACATTTCACCACATTTCAAATCAGAAACCCAAAAATACCATGACTGTAAGCAGGTCTAAGCAGTCGCCAGTGAGATGGTAGGGCCCAGAAAGGCAATGTATTTTAAATGAGGTCTACTTCCCATTCAGATTTCTATAAGGAGTATAATGTCTATCTTCAGTCAGTTTCTAACAAACAAGTTGAGTAGAGATCACTGTGTCATCTGAAATTCCTATTCATAAGTATGGATATGTTTACAGATGATAGAATCCTGGCAACTAAAATAAACTACTGAAGATTTGCTTTAGTAAATATGAGAAAAATCAATCTGCGTGCCTGTTCACTCCCTCAACAACTTCTCAAAGATGGTATAGTGTACTAGCAGTGGAGCTAAATAAACATACAGACCAGAGTCCACTGTGAAGTGGGGATCACCAGCAAAAGGCATGTAATGATAGATTCAGAGCATGACTGCACCTTTCAACTCTATCAGTGGAAGTCCTCCAGTGCTGCTTTCATGAACTCTCACATTTCTTCACTAACACAAAGTCAGATAAAATTTGTTCTTAAGTTAAAAATGACAATATAAAATGTCAGAAGAACCTGAGTGAGCGGGTGTTTATTTTTGAAGATTTCTACTATTCCTACAGTATGTATTATACTATTTTCAAATGAAAAGAATGTCTGAAATAGCATTAATTAAAAGAAAGGGAGAAGAAGAAGGATGCATGGGAAGTTCTAATGAACCTTTGTGGCAGCAGCTTCTTTAAAGCAAGCTACCAGCAATAACATTGTACTCTATAATTATGCATGTTTTGCTGATACCTAGACAGGCATTTGAATTGTCTGTTGTTTATAGTACTCGAGCAAAGATTTCAGCTTTTAAAAATTGTGTTACGTACTACATGAAAACCAGACTGGAAAAACCTCTCCTTTCTTTTCATCATTCCAACACAAACTAAAAAAAAAAAAACAATACCAAAACAAAACAAAAAAAATAATTAGAAGACTTGTGTCAGTATGGAATACTTCACATAGTCTGCTCTCACTAAAGTAAATGTCAAAAGCAATTGAGCTTTTACAAAGGTTGCAGACAGATAAACTTTAAAGGTGCTGTTCGCTTTTCTACCAAAGCAATGCATCTTTCCATGAAGCCTATGACTACCAAAACAATGAAAATCTGATCACACTGAAAGTCAGTTTCATTTTATGAGTCTTCAAATATCCTAGTTTGAAAAACTTTATTATGAATAAGAAGCCCTTTCACAATTTATCACTTGGTAAAACTTATTTTAAAAAATTCTCTCTACCACATCCCAAAAGAAAACATGCTGTTCTGAAGGTCTACTGTCACTAGTATTTATTAATTCCTACTGTGTAACTTCAAAATAGCATTAGTAGCGCTCTCCCTTTCTCACATCCAAGTACAACAGAAGCTTGATCTCTCTCTTCGGGGAGATTACGTTAGGACCAGACTTTTCCCTCTTCATGTAGTTCTTGATTCAATGTGTCCTCAGCTGCTTCAGGAGTCTCTGATTCCTTGTCCATAAAAATCTCAGCTGTTGCGTTGCTGTATTTATTTACCCACATGACCACTAAAGAGATATGTTGTTTTTTTAATAGAAAAACCTTTCCATCTTCTCTTGCATGCTTTTTGAGTACAACTATTATAATGACTTTCTGTCATTTATAGATCATTTAGACAAATTTAGCAGTAAAGCAAAGACATAATTTCCTTTCTTTAAAGACCTGAATCAATACCATTCAGACATACGCAAAATTTAGAGCTTCAAAAGAAAACATGTATTTTTAGCTTTAACTCAATATTATTTCAAACATCTCAGTAGAAATTCTTGCATGGACAAAACTAAGAACAGTTGAGATGTATGGCCTATCAGTCTCAGCACCCATTAGAAACTGAAGAGATATTTCCACAGTGAACGTAATCTTCTTTAGACTCCTTCAGAGAGCTTTTGGCTTGTAAAAGGGATGCATTACAGTAATTGTCAGCAATAAAGTAAAATATTTTTTCTCACATTAGATATCATTTTCATTTTTCAAGCTAGCACATCTCCCTTTTTAACTGAACTTATTAGCCTTCAATTCTCCAGGCTGCCCTACAGTTTTCTGAAAATTCAGAGCATGCCCGACACAAATGCACCATTAACCACAAACATCCTGTTAGTCTCTGAGGCTGGAGGGTGGCAGGACAGCATGACATCTTAAGCACTGTGGCAGAAGCTTATTTTTGTTTGTCTCGTTTCTTCACTGGCTAACAGTGACAACTCTAAGTTAGTCTGTCCTGAGTCACCTTCTACAGCCCTACAGGAGATAAAACTATACAGACTACAACATAGAAAACCAGGTTAGGAGTAAGACTGACCTTTAAAAGATCCGTTGAGGTTTAAGAAATACTCGGCTTGTTTTTACTTATCATGAAATACAGTTCTGCCTTTGTGATCACAGTCCAACACAAAAGATTTAACTCCAATGGCCTTTCTTGCCTGATTTATGTCAATAAATGCATTCATGAAATTACTTATATTTTATTTAAATAAGTAATAAAAATGTGAATTCACATGTTTAAAGGTAAATGTTGTTTCCAAATTAGTGTAAAGGGCCACTGACAGTGAATAGTTATATTTTCTCCAACAATGTGATCACCTCCATACAGAAAAATATACCTAAAAGGATAGCTGTAGATATAACAAAATCAGTACAAATAGTAACATTAATCTTTTTTTTTTTTATATATTCAGTGCATCATACTAATATAATTTCAGGTACAGCTATATGAAGATAAGCTAATAACAGGTAGTGAGTATTAAAAAAAAAACCCAAACAGTTCTATTCTGCTATTCCAAATAGGAAGACCCTGTCATTGACCTTTAAGGTACAGATAAAAGAAAAATGCTCTTTTCCCCAACCAACTTCTGCAAAAGAGAATTGCTTTCCATTCTACTTTAAAAGTCCCTTCTGATGGAAGAACTATGTTAGTAAAAACCTAGAGTCATAAGCTTGCTTTCTTTGTTAGCAGTGTTACTGTATGACAAAGTGTATTTGAGCAGACAATGGAAGAACCTTTGTGGCTCAGAGAAACTATACCAGAACTCAACTGAAAAATCACTTCGATCAGGCCTATAGAAATGCTGAAAACAGCACCACCACCCTCAGAATTATCAGAGTTCAAACAGATGAACAAATTAGCAAGAAGCTTTTCTACTATGTAATTTAAATTAACACGTTGAAATATCTTTGATAGACAATACTCAAATCTCAAAGAGCTAAGCATTTCTCATTGCTGTCATGTCTTAGAAATAAGAAAATTTTTTTCCTTTAATTTCTCTGTTAATCTATCTCAGAAAAAGATGAAAGTTTTATAAAGCATAGTGATATGGACTACTGCACAGATTTGTGCTGGTAAGGGGAATAAAACAGAATAAACAACTCATCTTGCAATTTTAAAAAAATATGTTGACTACTTTGAATGAGGAACTATTTTTAGACACATTTTATCACTATAGTCGTAATAAAACAAAGCCCATAGAAAAAAATTCAAAACCTCAGCTGGTGCAAAAAGTCTAACAGACTTGGTCATGCTGAGGATTTGTTCCTGAGCAATGGTATTAAAATATATTATCAATAATATAATAAACTGTCCTGAAATATTTGTTTCTTTAATGATTGCTTGACAAATTAAAGCTTAACTAGAAAACTATTTTCACTGAAAACTTTGCGACGTTTGCAGAGAGAAGTAAACAGAACAGTAAAGCTTTATTATTAATGAAACTTTCCAGAATATGAATAGACATTAGATTCAATTTCCAGTGACCTAAAGCTTTTCTGTAGGGTCCTAAAGAGTAAAAGGTACTTTGGTTCACATTTTATTTTTAAGTTGAAGATTCTTTAAACATTTCCTTTGCCATACTAAATTTCTGAAAAGCTAGTATCTGATTTATCAGGCACAGCAGCAAATAAATGAGAGCAATTATACTGATGCTTCTAATTTTCCCCTAACTTTGCCTGTCAACTGTGTCACTCCACCTGATTTAAATAGTCCACTATGTTTCCAGTCTGAAAATGGCACTGAAACTCCCAGAGGAAAATCCTTGCCTGCTTTCAAGAGACCTTGAAGTAAGGCTATGCCCAAAGGAAGGCTGCAATTCCAGACTCCATTAATATTAAGAACCACTTATCAGATCTTGCAAAGCTTTACTGCTTTCCACCTGGCCTAGATTACTTCAATTCTTGGGCATGCAATACTACAGAGGACAGTGCCATACCCCGTCTCTGCCTTACAGAGCTGCACTAGGTACTGCAGCAATGCAGGAAGTGCCATACTGCCATCTGCAGTCAGGAACACCCGCCAATGCAGTGATTCACTGGTCGATTTCCTTACAGCCAACAGTCACTTTCTTTCAATTCTATCCCTTAACACTGATGAATCTCAAATTGTTTACTTTTCAATGCCTCGATCAAACATGACCTTTCAAACTTTTAATCCTTGCAGAAGAAGTTTCGTGGGGGTTTTGGGGGTTTTTTTGTTTAGAGCTAAAGTTATAGGAATGGTAAAGTAAGAAGGGAAGGAGAAAGAGAGCACTTTAAAATTTGCATTACCTGTCTGGTGTGTATGGGGCCTGGGGTCTTGAAGCCTCCTTGACAGCTGCATTCAGAAACACTGTAAGGGTCCGAGCTGCTTGATGAGCACTTGGAGAGTGAGTCACAGCCCACCACAAAGGTGTTATCTAGAGGCAGTTCCTGAATGACATGGTGCTTCTTGGGGGGTACAGGAGTCTCAGGTTTAATTTGAAATGTAGGCTGCGGAGAAGCAGACTTGTAATGCTTTGCTAAATCTGGGCTATCAGGCTTAAATGTGGTTGGTGTGGTGGCCCAGTTATATTTTCCCATAGTCTGTTCTTCTAGCTCTACAGGAATGTCTAAAGTGCCATTTATGTGCTCATGGCCAGGATCATCAGGCTTAGATTCTTCAATAGTCACAAAGTTGAGGAGAAGACTCTTTGGAGAGCGCTTCTTCTTCTTCTTCTTTTTCTTGATCTGCCTATTCTCTTGGTTTGGGGAAACCCATTCACCACTCTGCTTGTTTTTTTGGACAACCTTGTGCCTAGGTGTCTGGCGGCACCGTACTAAAGCAGTAACAAAAATTACCAGAATAACCGTCATAGTGCCTGCAATAATGGCAATGATGATCTTGACATAATCATTGGTTTGTGGGGTTATCTCACCATCCCCAACATTCTGGCCAACTGGAGTTTCCATATTCCTGCGCACTAGCTCTTGTACGTAGGAACTGTTGGTGACTGTCTCATTCACAAACAAATGCACAAGAGCTATAGTATAAAGAGACTCCGGTTGTCCTAGGTCATTGACTTTTATGACCAGTCTGTGCAAGCCATGATCTGATGTCATTACCTTCTCTTTCAAAGTAATATTGCCTGTTAATTGGTCAATTGTAAACAAGCCCCTTGAGTTCCCACCTATGATGCTATAGCGGAGCTCTGCATTCATTCCTGTGTCATTATCAACTGCAAAGACTCTAGTAACTACAGACCCTGGACTAGCTGATGTTGGAACCAATTCATATGAATAATTAGATGAAGGAATAACAAAAACAGGCCTGTTGTCATTTACATCAACAACATTGATGGTCACTTTGGCAGTTGAGGAACGCTGCAGTCTTCCTCCATCCACAGCTTTCACCTGGAAAGTATATGACCCCTGCTGTTCCCTGTCAAAGGTAATATTAGGTCTTATTACACCAGTAAGTGGATCTATAATGAAATTATCTCTACCATTTAATATAGAAAGAGTGACCGCAGCATTCTCTCCAGAGTCAGCATCTGTAACTGTGATAAGCCCCACTGTGCCATACATGGGCAAGTTTTCTGGCACATAGAAATTATATTCATTATGTGTGAAAGCAGGGCTGTTATCATTCTGGTCCAGGACCGACACTGTCACAGTAGCATTGGTCTGCAAGGGTGGCATCCCATTATCCTTAGCCAGCACAGTGAAGGAGTACCTGTCTTGCTTTTCTCTGTCCAGCTTTCTCACTGCTGTCAGAATGCCTGTACGGCGGTCAAGGTTGAAAATAGGAGGTGCATCAGAACCCAGGATATAGCTGATCTCAGCGTTGCGCCCACTGTCAGCATCTGTAGCACTTATCTTGGTCAGCTGAGTACCAGGAGCATTGTTTTCAGGGATGGAAAGACCTATGATTGGCTGTGTAAAGACTGGGGCATTGTCATTTTCATCTTTAATTTTGATCAGGAGCATTGCAGACTGGTTTAAGGGAGGTTTCCCTGAATCTGAAGCCACTATTTTAATGGCATATTCCCGTGTGGCTTCATAATCTAGAAACGTGGCTGTCTCCAGGAGAAACTGATTATCAAACACTGGCTTTAGCCTAAAAGGGACATCGTGATCTGTAAAACAAGTTACTTTTCCATTCAGATCAGCATCCTTATCCATTACTGTTATTAATGCAATTTTTGTATTAAGGGGAGCCTTCTCAGACAAAAGCACTGTCCCGTTCACTGGATTGATGATGTATCTTGTGTCTATTGATGGTATGTTGTCATTAATATCTGTGACATTAACAGTCACTGTTGCTTTTGATGGAGTTGAACTGCCATCACTTGCCAAAACAGTTAATTTGTGTACAGGAGATTCCTCCCTGTCTAGTGGTTCTCTTATAGTGATGAGACCAGTGGTGTTATCAATGGCAAATAGCCTTTTGGCCAAACTGGAGATCTGATTGCTGAAATAGAAGTGGATTTGCGCATTTGAGCCCAGGTCTGCATCAGTGGCATGGAGCTGAGAAACAGAGGTGCCCACTGGAGCATTTTCTGGAACACTAACTTCAATGTCATTCTCTTTGAAGACTGGGCGATTATCATTCACATCAGTCACTGTGACTTGCAGGATGGCAGTGCTAGATCTTGGAGGACTTCCACCATCTTCAACTTTAATTTTCATCACATAGGTATCCTTCTGCTCCCTATCCAGGATCTGTTGGACAATCAGTTGAGGCCACTTATCTCCCTCAGGTGTCTCAATTATATCAAGACCAAATACATTTTGACCCTATAAGACACAGAAAGAACATACTTTAGCATGACAGTATATTTAAATAGAGAAACATCTGCTTAATGTTCTGAAATTGTCATGGAATACGTATTTTTAGATATACCGTATACAGGAACACACATTTCTATATTTACCTTATTTTTGCAATATCTGATTTTGCTCTAGGGCCTTAAGAAAGCCTCAGAGAAAATGTGAAGAAATGGATACTCTGGAAAAACAGGGTGGGTGGGTTTGGAGGGGATGGTAGGGTGTTTTGTTCTGTGGTTTGTTGTGGGTTTTTTTAACTAGGTTCTCTATTTCTACAGAAAAAAATATTAAATTCCTGTATGGATGTAATTTGGTTTCTCTGTTGTATGAATGAGTTTAGAAAAGAGGAATAAAGCCAAATTTCAACCACGTCCAGAGGCAAGACAGTATGCATACACTGGAGGACCGAAACCAATATTCAATTTCAAGGAAAACAAGAAAGATAAAGTGACTGCGTGTTTGTGGAACAACTCTAAACATGATCTGAAACCACGAGCATAAAAAACCAACACCACCATTGAAAAGGGGCTTACTACATAATTCAGGTGTTAGATGGTACAGACAAAACTAAGCCATAACAGTTTATTAGAAATAAACTAAAAATTTAAAAACTCATTAAAACTATTCCTTTCTTCATTATTATATATTTTATATTTGTAGTGAAAATTACAATACCAGTGAGAAAGGAAGATCTATTTTCATTTAAAAAAAAAAATCACAGAGTTATGAGACCAATTTGAAAATAATCTATTTTTTTTTTTCATGGGGTTTGTTGAACAACTAACACTCCTGGAATTGCAAAGAAATGCTACACATATTGCACGAACATAAGTTCTTCTAAAACACTAATGTTGACAAAGTAGCCTGCTAAAATAAAGATTGGAATCTAGAACTAGATTCCCCCTTCTGCTGTCTCCTCAGACAAGAAGGGATTAAGAAATCACAATTATCCTCTTTTCTCCCATCTCTCACCCTTCAGAGGAAGAAAGGATGTAAAGGCAGTTTGCCAGCACCTTCTGTAAGGGCAGGGCTAAAATGTAGATCACTAAAGCTGAATGTATAGGATGACCAGAAAAAGAGAGCATCAATAAAAGATGGTGACTAATTCTTTTTTTTTGCGTCATACTTGTAATAATGAACTGTGTCCAGCCTGGTTATTTCTCTGTTTATTGTGCTTGTCTCACCTTTACTCATGTAATTGTATGTGTGTTCTAAACTGATTTGAGACATTTCAGACCAAAGGGAAAGAAAATGTTCCCAGTGTGCAAGGTTCTTTATTTCTCACTAATTGTAAGAGATTTATATTATTTGTGTCTTGCTACACACTGTTAAGTGAATGCATTTATAGGTCTAATTTGGTGTTAGGTTGTACTCTTTCATTAATTTGTTTTCTCAAAGCCAGAATTTGACCCTACATAAGTAATAATTTATTTCATGGAAAAGAACTATTCATCCACATTTCAAAAATTACTGTGCCACTTGAACAGTATTTGTGACAACATTAAGTTGCAAGGGGGACAGTCTAAAGTGAACTGGCACACATTCTGAAACAATAAAATAAATACAGCTTTGGCTTCTTTAGCAGAAGGCACATGAAAATATAAGCCTGGCAATTGTTTCTAAATCAAGATACACATTTTGAACCAATTAGGTTAAATTTTAGCATGGTAATTCTATGCTGATCTCTTCGTGAAGGCAGAATGAGAGTTTCCTCTTCATCTTCAATCTGGCTAGCAGTTATTTGCAATAAATTTCATAATTACTGAGAAATGATGAATTATATATTCTATGCTTTAACATAGATTTCCAGAAAAAAAGTAACAGAAGCTAGAGGAGAAAAACCTGTCAGCTATCTTTTCCGTCTTTATTTGTACACAAGTTGACAGATGGGCACTGATTATTCTGTCATTAGATCCCACAACTACAACAAACACTTCATATAGACTTTGAATACATGCAGCTATACATACGCATACCCAATTCTGCTTTTCTTTAACTATTAAGTATGAGAAAGGTATTTTTCATTACAGCATAAGAGTTTGATATAAAATACAGCTTCAGTTCCCCATCACTAGTAGTAAACTACTGGAGAAACAGAAAAGAATGCAAAGATCTCTTGCAAGTTAATTATTAACACTTGAGTAATTTTCTATGGAAAAATATTATCCAAGAGTACTTCTTGCTATTCATTACAGGTTTATACATCTCTTTAATCTACCAATAAAAAAAAAAAAAAAAGAATTACAGAAGATTATATGTTCTCCTAAACAATGTGAAACAAGCTTGCTTGATTTAAGGGGTGAGGTTAAGTGTGACATTATGCTGCATTGTAACAAATGCATTTTCTAAGAACAGACAGTTCTCCCATTCTAACCACTCCAAAAAATGATGAAATATTAAAGAAACATATTTTTAAGATTAAAAATATGTCATTCTCTCCCCTATGAGCAAAGAAACTGAGAGTTAAAAATCCTGAGAGAAACATGAAGAAAACCCTTCAGGATTAAATTCTTGATGTTGAAGTAATGGCTCTATCATCATTAAAACCTCAGTGAAGTGAAAATTTCCATTAGGGTCAGATTGTTATTTGGAATGAACTGTACCTCAGTCACCACATTATCCCAGTGATCTGAAGGTTTCATTCACACTTGAAAGGGTATGAGTCCATAGGAAAAGCATAATTAACATTTATATAGTACCTTTCACCATTAAAATGACTGACTGGTAAAAATAATCTGCTACATTTTTATCTGCACTACTACAGAAGGATGGGAGTGAGAAATAAAAAAGGTTGACTTTTTTTTAAATTTAAAAAGACAGTTTAAGCAATGTAACCTAACTATTTGAGGCAAAACAAGGTTATGCCCATCTCAGAGACAGGATTAGTTGTAAGAGGCTCTGGCCCTGATCACAAGATTCTTTATCAGGGCAATAAGCACCTCTGTTACCTTATTCAATTTTCATAACATCCTTTTCAGTGGATTCATGCACACAGCAGTCTCTGAAATAACGAAACTGGTATTCTCGTTGAACACTCTCTACCATATATTTACCTGATCGTTTGTAATGGATCCAAATGTCCTTTTCGGAGCTGTTTTGGGCTGTCATGTAAATAAAAAAAAATTGGAGAGTTTTTTAAAAATTGTAACATTTAGGTAGATTAATACATAAACAATGACACATGGACACTTCATGTGATAAGCTAGAAGAGCCTCTTGTATTACGGACAGGACTGCATGTGATAAAGTGCACCTATAGTCTACATATAACTTGCCTCTAGACACATATTGCAGTACCACAGTCTTTTGTTAAATCCATGGGTATTGACTACCTGGACATTGTAATAAACTTTCTTTCAGGCCACAAATTGTAATGTGGGCTTCATTGTTGGGAGGAATGGGAAGAAACACCACCTTCTGGTTAATGCTTGTAACAGTGGCATGGTCTGCTGCGTTCAGAACATCTTATGAACTTACACTTGCAGACCAGTGAGTTGATAAATTGTAGTAATTTCTCAAAGAAATAGGGAAAGGAAAGAATATCGTGCTAAATAACCATATCTAAATGACTGCTTGTGATACAAAGTACTCTGAAATTAAGTCAGTCTATTAGTGACTATTTTTTAAAACATTACAAAATATATAATTGTATATTATAACTATACATTGTTAACTGACAAATAATAGTTCAACACTGTCCTCGACCTTCATTCAAGGAAAGTATTCTCAACCTTTAGAGAAAGACACACGAGCAAAGCTCATTGTTTTCTGTCTACAAGTTTGCTCTATACTTATTATCAATACTTATCTTCATGCACTGTAAATGACAAACACATTACAGGATGTATGTCTTCAGCTCAACTGAATCTTAAACAAAAGTCAAGGGCTAGATGACACACATATAATAAACTTTTACTAATGTTCTGCAGTAACTCATTTCAATGAATATTGCAACAAGCTAGAAGTGCACACTTATTGCAAGTCAACAATGCTCTTAAAATCAGCTAGTTTTATTATTTCTAAAAATCTTACTCTGCCTGAAATCTAAAATAAGCAGATTTAGAGTGACTAAATTCCAGCAGACCAAATACAGCAATACTGGGAAAGGTGATACGTTGGATGTGAACATGTGAATTCCCAAAGCAAAGCTAAAGCCTTAAACCCAAGATATTCTACATGATAGGCAGTAACGGATATAAGTTCCTATAATAGGTGCATATTACTACACTCAGATCTATAATATAATAAGTGTTGTAGCTCTACTAAAAGTCCCTTGTCTGCTATTACTTACACAGTCTGCAATTTACGTGTTCATGCATTCAAGAAGATTAAAATTGTTGCACAGCTGTCCTGTTTAAAGACTGCACAGTCACTACCCTCATCACATTGCACAGCTTACAACTCAAAGTTACTTGAAATATGTGTCATTAATACCAAGTTACCTTATGAACTGAGTGACAGTACCTCAAAGGAGAAAATAAAATTACAGAGGTAAGACATTTTTATCAGCAGATGCAAAGATGTTTACATATTTGAAACACTAACTCTTTGTCAAAACAACTACAACCTTTTAATTTGTAGGCCAAGATTCCCATGAGTTTTGTTCATTTTATAGTTTTCTGTCAGTATCACACACTGGTTCACATGGTTTCCATTGAAGCAAGCCAAAGCTTAGCTCTGAATAAACTGAGCTTACAGGTTCAAATCCACAGTCAAAGTAGGACTTGGAAGCTTCCAATCATACATGAACCTAAAGAGAATTTTGTGCATTCAGAATCCTAATTAGCTCCATGTGTACATAAAAGTTAAGGATATAATTTATTAGCAATGTCTATATCATAACTTGCTATTTTTCCACCTCCAATTATAAAAGAGCTTCTATAAATGTAAAGCCCTGCCAAAGATTTCTTCTCCGTGTATACAACCACACACAACACCTTACTTGTCCTATGAAGTGTACAGAAAGCAAAATACTATAGATGAGATCAATAGAGTGTAAGGATAATAATAATAAACCATTTCATGCTGGAAAGGAACAGTATAATATAGAATGAAGCAGCAGACAATCAATTCAATTAATACTGATTTTCTGAAGAAGAAGAAAAAAGGCTAGGAGGTATACCTAAACATGAAGTTACTTCCTTGGAAATCTGAATTTAATGTTACTGCAAAAGACTGAAACAGTTCTAACAATTATATCACTTGAATCTCCTTAATCCTTTTGGCTGATTTGATCCTTTCTGCAAAGAGTTCCTTCCAATCTTATCATATTCTGAATATTGCCAACTTTATTTCATAAGATAGATAGATATTAGATATTGTGGTGGGTTGGCCCTGGCTGGGGGCC